TGGCTGCAGCTCTGAGAGGGATCCACTGCTGCTCCTTTGGCCTCCCGTGGGGAGCTCCTAACCCGGCAATCCCAGTGCTGCAGCACAAACTAAGGCTCCTTTCAGAGTTGGAAAGTCTCTTCTTGCTCTGGACCCCAACATGCTCCCTCTGCCTTGGAAACCCCCGACAGAAGCTCCCTTAGCTCCCCAGCACTGCTGAGCAGGGGCTGCAGAATCCTCCTGCACCTAAAAAATCCTCCCAGTTGTTTTCTTTGTTGCTGGCCAAGGTATTTCTACCAGAGCCTGGACCCATTCTGGGTCTACTCAACTTTATTCTTGTGTTAATATGAATCCTAAATATTTTACTTCCTGGTGACACAGCTGAAGCTTAGGCAGAGAGTGTGCTGAGCTTTTGTTTCTGCCAAAGTTCTGTCTGTGTTAGGAGTAAATGCTATGGACTGTTTGAAACTTAAAGGCTTCAACACGAACTTTACTGTTGGCATGCCTCAAAAATGGGGATTCCACTTCCAAAAAGGAAATGGTGTAAAGGAAAATTTGTGCTTTAGAAAGAAAACCCGCAAACTTCGGAGTCGAATTTAAAACACTGAACACTTCATGAATTTCAGTCATGATTTGCAAGTCTAGTTGTGTGGCTTTGTCTGGGGAGGCTGAATGCCACAATAAACAAAAATGTCCCTGAATCTGAGTAGCTGAAATAGTCACAGCAGAACAGGAAAGGAGAACAGCGTGGACTGAGCTGGTTTTGTTCACACAGAATCGAAGGATGAGGCGTCTCTCAGAGCAGAAACGAAGGTTTGACATCAAGATTGCTTTCAGCACTCTGAGCAGTTTGGTGTCAGCCAACTCCAAGTTGGTAAGTAACGTGACAGCACCAGCAGCTTACCATTCTAAGAGAAAGAGCCATTCTAAGTGACTTGTTAATGAATCCTTTCACTGTGGACTGACAACTCCCTCAGTCAGGGAGGATCATTGAACTGAGGGCCTTGGAAAGGGAAGGGTGAGAAATCCATGCTTACTGTCCAAAGCACTGAAAGCACTTCATCTTCCAGGCATTGTTCTGGTGCAACTTCAAACATGGAGCAAGCCTTTCTGATGAACTGCTGCAGCTTTAAAGCCAGCAGGGGATGAAGCAAAACTCTTTGCTCCTGGGACCTCAGTGGTAAAGGTGTTTATATTTGCAGAGAAGCTGATTTTGCATTGGCTGTGTATATGTACACATACATTGCTAATCTCCAGTTCTATGACCGCAGGTTCCCCAGCCTAAACAATCTCTGTTGCCAGCTTCAAAGAATGCTTGCACCAGAGCTCTAGATCTGTCAGCAGATGTAGCACATCCTTCAGTACTTGAGTAAGAACTGTAAATATTGCTAAGATAATGAAATAGAACATTTTAACTTATCAAAGTGCTTGCAGAAATGCAATTTGTGGAAGAAAACAGCCACTGCAGCCACATTTCTCTCTGCTAGTGTGCAAAGGGGAGTGAGAGAAGTGAAGGGTTTAGTGCTAAAGTGTTTTGCTCTGCCTGACCCTGTGCACACAGGGAAGGTGCTGAAGTGCTGCTGTGGGTGAGGGGCAAACTCTTGCTGTGTTTTGCTTTGTGGCAGCAAGTGAGCTCTGTCTGTGTTTGCTCTAGATCAGCCACGCAAGCACGCTGCAGAAGACAGTGGAATACATTGCCAAGCTGCAGCAGGAGAGGACTCAGATGCAAGAGGAAACCAAACGCCTGCGGGAGGAAATCGAGGAGCTAAACGCCACCATCATGTGAGTATGATGACATCTGTTTGGTTTGGTTTGAATTGATCTCTTGCTAAACTATCTCCCTAACATTTTCTTCTCTAACACTGCTCAGGAGTAATTCTAAATTTTCCCTTGACTCCTAATTGGATGCCAAAGCCTGCTTGGTTCTGTGTGATCCTTTGTGTGTGTAGCAGCTTGGGAAGTGGCTTCGCTGCCCGAATGTAGGTGAAAGGGATGGGAAGGCAGTGTGTACTGCTGACTGGGACAGTTCCAGTCCAGGGGCCGTGCACTGGGGAGTCCCTCCACCAGAGACACGGGTACACGCTCTGCTCTGGCTGTCCCTGGCTGCAGTGTGTCCCTCCTGGAGGGATCTGACCTCAGAGCCCTTTGTTTCAGCTCCTGCCAGCAGCAGCTCCCTGCCACCGGCGTCCCCATGGCCCGGCAGAGCCTCGACCACATGAGGAAGCTCTTTGAGGAGTATGTGAGGAGCAGGACCCTGCAGAACTGGAAGTTCTGGATTGTATCCTTTGATAGCAACTGCTGGTCTTGAGCTTTGGTGCTGATGTACAAAATGACAAATGTCCTCAGGTTTTTACCGTTTCCTCCTTTCCTTTTTGCTCCTTCTGGTGATTGTGAAGGAACTTTGCAAAATGCAGAGTCTCACTAGGAACTGAGGCTCAGTTTCCCTGTGTCTCAGGGCCAGCTCCTTTTTGCCCTGCTGCAATCCCCCTGCCAGTCCCATCCCTTCAGAATCCAGTGTGGCTCTGGAGCAGCCTTGAACAACTCCTCTGTTGTCTCCCTTACATCTGCTGCTCTGCAGTTCAGCATTATCATCAAGCCCCTGTTTGAGTCCTTCCAAGGGATGGTGTCCACAGCAAGCTTCAAGGATCTCCAGGAGTCTGCCCTGGCCTGGCTGGAGCAGCACTGCTCTCTGCCCGTGCTCCGGCCAAGTGAGTGAACAACTCTTCAGCAGCTACTCCAGGGCTTGGGGAGTCAGAGCTGCTGTCACAGTGTTTCTTGACAGCCAGAGCCTGGCACAGAGCACATGGTGCTGAGTGTGACTTTCGCTTCCTTTTATTAGCTCAGTGGAAAAATGAGATCCTCTTCTGCCTGTGAGACACTTGGCTGCATGTTCAGCCCTGAACAGAGATGCAACCCAACTGCTGAATTTCATCAGCCTTGAGCTGCATTTCAGTTTCAAACCCTTGGCTCCAGTTGGAGTAAGTTAGGCAGTGATTTATCTCCTGGTGAAGGAAGACTTCTGAGTCTTGGACTGGGATCTGACATGCTGCCTGGACACTGGACTCCACAGAGCAGTGCTGAGATTGGATAACACGGTGTTCCCATGGAACTGGTGTCAGTGTTAGGCACTCATCTGCTTAAGTCCATTTAAAAAATGAAATTAATATCATTTCAAATAGCATTTCATCTTTACCTTTAATGACAGAGTAAAGGAAAAACGAGGGGGCAAGGGAAGGAAAAGGGATGAAAGGAAAGAGGGGAAAAAGGAAAAGGGGGTAAAGGGGAAAAGAGGATAGGGGGAAAAACAAGGGGTGGAAGAAGAGGAGAGAAAAAAGGAAAGGGTTGAAAAGGAAAGGGGAAATAAAGGATGGGGTGAGAAAAGGAAAGGGGAAACAATCCAAGATACCAATGAGGCTCCAAGTGAAGCACAGACAGCTGGAGTGTCCTGCTGGGGCAAACCAAAAATCAGTCATTGAAGACTTGTGAGCTGTGTCTGGAGCCCTGGGATCCCTTCAGCTGGGGCAGGATTGCTGCATCCTTTCCCCCTTGCGCTTCAGCCAGTGTTAAATTACCTTTGCCGTTGCTCTCTGCTGTAGAAGAGTCAGCTCAGTCCCACTCCTGGCTTTTTGCTGATGCCTTTGTGCCTTGTTTCTTGCAGCGGTGCTGAACACGCTGCGGCAGCTCAGCACCACCACGTCGATCCTGTCGGAGCCGTCGCGCCAAAAAAAAAGTCATCAAGAGAGCTGGGGACACCTAGGAGCCAGAGACTCTGAGTGTGTGGACACGGGGTGGAGAGCCTGCCAGGGCTCCTGTCAGCCAGTGCACTTTACACAGCTCTCTCCATCACCCAGGACACTGTTCAGGGCGTCAGGCTCTGCCTTCAGCGAACGTGCACCACTCTCACCACCGTCGGGTCCTCTGCAGTGCTGTGCTGCACTCCATAAGTGAGGCAAACACCGAGCTCAGGTAAATCTAGCAGGTCTGAGTCCTGCAGGCAGCAATATCTCTCCAGCAATGCAGCATCTATATGCAACAGATTTCTATGAAACAGCTTCAAGTACTGAGTTCTCTGAAGTGTCAGTCCTGTACACCAAGGAGTTTTCTCTTCAAGGGGGAAAATACTTATTGTTTCATGAAAATGTGCTTTTAATTTTGTTTTCTCGTATTCAGTTCCACTTGTTTTACTTGAATGGTGAAAATTGTTCAACAGGATCACATGAAAAACCAAAGGAGAAGAAAAATCCGTCAATGATGTCAACAAAAATACTCGACTTGAAATCTCAGGCTGTGTTTTGTGTATGTTTATTTTGATGAGTGTATCATTGCGTAGGATCAGTTTCAAGACACGCTTTGTTTTCTAGTCAGGTAGCTGATTTTCATTATTTTTCCTGATATAGCCACTGCAAGGGAGCAGCAGGCTGGGCAGCAGGAGCAGGCAAACAGCTTTGGAGTGCATAAACTCTGCAGTGAGGATATGAGTGTCATAGCAGTGGAGTCAGTGAAGTGTTTCCTGCCCTGCAGGGCCAGCTGCTCTCCTCACCAGTGTGCACATACACAGCACACCCATGGGTAAGTGTTGTAGCACTTCAGAGACAAGAATTGAGTTTGTAATGTTCAAGAAATTGGCTTTTTATTATCTCAGAAACTCTGTCAACCCACACAGGCTTGTAGTCAGTTCTTTGCTTCTCTGTCTTTTTCTGCTTCTTTTTGCCTTGTGTCTGAACAACCTGAAGGACTTTGCTGAGCCTGATCTGTAGGGAAAAAAACTAGGTTATACAACATGTGACAATATGTTTGAAACTCAGAGTGCTACAGAACCTCTTTCTGTGGCAGCCTCAGCACTGGCTGAGCTGTGCTGCAGGTAAACAGGCTCCTCACAGCAGTGATTGTCCATCCTGAGGCAGCACCAGGATGTTCATTCCAGAGTCTGCAATGATCCTGTGACCCTTGTGATGCCACTCACTACTTGATTCTGATCACTGAGAGCTATGCAAACGGTGGGGAACACTTCCCTGGGTCCTCCTCTGAGCAGTGCTCTTTCAGTTCCAAGAGAGGTGTTCTGCAGCCTGTCACAGTGCTAAGATGAGGAGCAGCTGGAACATCTGGGGATTGCACACACTGGGATGGGCTCAGGAGGTTCTCCTTGGGGGATGGAGTTTTCCTCAATCTTCTCCACATGCTGGGACAAAGCAAACTGTAGTCCTGGGGAGCAGAGCTAAGCACAGGGTGGGTTTGTTTCTTCTTTGCCCTGAGATTTTGCAGCTGATGACTTCCCTTGCAGAGTTCCCTTTTGCTGAGGAGGCCTGTGGCAAGGAGAGGGCAGGGGGGGTTAGCCCCAGAGTGAAAAAGGAATAACAGTTCTTGGTAAACTGATTTTTTTTTAATGTGTGCTGAATATGGAAATTGTGTTAGGTAGCACCATGTGGTCCAGCTTCCCCTGGTTTGGGTGGCACCTGGTCGTGGCCGTTTTTCTCCCATTTGCAGCCCCTTTCCTAAACATGGGTCCTATAACTAAGGCCACTGTGGCTGCTATCTGGTTTGCATATTGGGTCGATAACGTGAGGAATTCATGTTTTTTTAAATTCATCCAGAAGGTGAGCATGTGGATACAGGGCTATCACACACTAAGTGCATGTTTCTGGGGTTATGCTAATAATGGTACCTTCTGTGAGGAA